ATTCCTGCCACTAGCGACCTGCGAGTTTAGTGCGAAAACGCATATTGCCACCGGCAAGCCTGGTGCGTTCCAGCCTTGGTTATTTTTGTTCACTTCATGCTTGACTGGCAGTGCACTTTTTTTGGTTCCAGTTCTCATGCCAGCTGAAAGGAGAGTGTGGCGAGGTGGTCCAGTATCATTCAAGATGATTGTTCAAGCCGTCCTAATATTCTTATTTTAAAAATTTGCCTCATATTTCTTAATCGGGAAGCAATTTCTTCCACCTGGACTGAAAATAACACGTTCAGACTGAAGTGGTATTGGTCATATGCTACTGACACCCCGAAACGGCTAAAGCGTTGTCAGAAAGTTTCTGTCAGCCGGTACCTCCAAGAAACCCATGCTGGAACGCACCAGGCCTGCCAGTGCGATCATGCGTTTTTGCACCAGCTTGAATTAGGCTAGCTGCATGAGTAGTTGTTGCTGCACGCCTACCTTGTGCGGACCCAGCTATACAGCGAGCGGTTTCCTCGCCAAAAAATTTAAGTGCCCGTACACGAGAATCACAAGTACCTGGAGACTGAATTTGAAACCTTTAAGTTGTATTTGGATTGGGAATATTCTCCCAGTATTTCAGCTTTCCAGTTTTTTTGGTTCCGGAATTAGCAACTTTCCCTCCAAAACGTTCACGGGCCGTATGTGAGCCAGCAGCATATCTGACGGCTGAGTCTGAAATCTTTAAGTTATACGTGGGCTGGGACAATGAATTTTAGATTATGCAACTGTCGAACAGCCTTTGCATGAGCAGGTTCATGACAAACCGTGTCCAATTGATTATTTTAGAATTTCTCATGCGTTTTACTTCATTGTTTCAGATTGTGTTTGGTGGTAATAAAATCTACTTCTGTGTTTTCTTTGCTTTGCGAGAAGGCTACCCTGTATTTATGCAAAAGGGTGCTTTGTACATTCATGTTAGTTGTGTTTTGGCTTTTTCGTGCATGCGGCAGAAAGGGCGCCGGCTAGGATGGTAATGTTGCATAATGGAGCCGCATCACCCGCCAGCGTGCATAATTTCCAGTTTTGCATGAAGTTCAATCGTTTTCCCGGTAAGCGGTGGTCCATAAAAGTATGCAAGTTTTACGATGTATACAATGCGGGAAGAAGATAACGAAATCCGTAAAATGCGTTCGCTTTTGAGTTTTTGATAAAATTGAGTATTTTCCTTGTTTGCATATAGGAATTTCTGTCTCTAAGCAGAATTAAGACCACACATCGATGTAGAATATCCCTGCAAAATTTCAACTTCGCGGTTTGTCTGATAAGCGAAATCATCTGTTCGCTATGACGCGCTCTAAGAAGTGGCCTAAGTGCAATTCGAAATTCCAGTAGGTATACGACTGTCCAGATAGGCGGCAAATATTCTGACAAAATTTCAGCTACAGTTTTCGGCTAGTCTTTAAATTAGCACAGTGACAACTGGAGCTCTGACGTGGTCTTACGTACGGTGCAAGTGTGCGTGATAGCTGAGTTTGCAGCCTTTAGCTTACACGTGCACAGAGAGTATCTCCGCAAAGCTTCAGATGTATATCCTATCTGGTTCCCGAGATCGCTTTTCTGCCCAAAATTCTGCATAATTTCTTGAAGCGTTCATACGCGGATGACAATATTTAAAGCGGGAAGGTCGCACTCGGTGTAGGTACACAATTCTGAAGTTTCAGCCTTCTAGCTTTTCTGGTTCCCGAGATGAAAATGGGTGACAAAAAGCGCGAACACACAGACACACGCACATAGCTCCTTGCCAATATGCGTTTTTATTGCATTTGCATTATACGCAAAAACGCACAAAAATAAGCGGTTTGTTTAGTACATGATTGCGATAGGTCACATGCATTTTCGGTACAGTTTCAAAGGGGCTGCAAGAAATCTTATTGGTACGGAGCCTTGCCTCAGTTTAAGTCACAGTGTTTCGAGCATTCCGAAACATTTACAGCCTCAGCAGTTGCTTTTGCCTTCAGGAGACGAAACGAATGCTAGCTTCGTCAGAAGCCTGACCATTAGACGATGCAGCACTGGCCAAATAAACTGGAAAAGACGCCGGCCACGCAGCTGGACATAGTTGGAGCTGGGTTTCGGTTCAGACGTGGAAAACAGTAAATTCCTGGACTCTTCACGGGCTGATGTTCATTCCCTGCAGTGCTGCTTGTTCATCTGCTGTTTCCGAAGTACCAGCTGCGGTGTTGTTGGTTGCTGTTTATCAGAGCAGTGATATGGCTGCGCTCATTGCTTGTGCAGTGATAACACGGGGTGTGTGTGTGAGAGAGAGAGAGACCAATCATGCCGGGCTGCTGCTGTCCTCTCCCGCGGTGTGCTTATCATCTGTTTGCTTTGAGGACGTCTTTATTTGTGCTGTTGAACATGCATAAACGGTCTGTGCTGTTCATCCCGATGTTGCTCGAGCTCCAAGCACCACTTGCAGTATTGCTTCAGCAGCCGTTCAGTGAATCCAGGTACCCCTCCAATTCGCTGCTTTTTAATCGGTCTGATTTTGCATACGTTCTTCAACTCATTATTAATACAGTAAATAGTGGCGCGCACCAGGGCAGCCGGTGCGATCATGCTTTTTGTGCAGTCCCAACCATGCTAAGAATTTTCACTGTTTTACACTTTGGTCTGTGAAAAATAGTTCCTAAACTGCGAAATTTCCCATTAAAAATTTCACGTACCCATAAATGAAACGCAAAAATATGTAAAAGGTGAATTCGAAACTTGAGACGATGAGCATCGTTCCAAATTTTCAAGCTCCTAGTTTTTCACCTTCCGAGCAATTTTCACGCCAAAGCTTTAACGTGATCGCACGTGAGACCCCGTTATGCTTGGGAACTAAATTAAAGTTTGTTAGGCTCCTGCATGGGCAAAAAACAACCTCCTGAAGTTTTCAGACTTTTAGCTTTTCTCATATTCGAGACAATAATTTTCCCGGCCAAAACTTCCACGAAGTTATACTTGAGATCCAAGCTTACGTGAAAGCTAAATTCGAATTTGCGGATCGCATGTGAGCAGGAAATATTAACCTAAAATTTTACACGGTTCCTCAGATGATAATTTTTCGTGCTAAAATTTTCAAAGAGCTGTACGTGGTACCCAGGCGAGAAGGCTGAATTCAAATTTATGAGCGGTGGAATCATTCTAAAATCTCAGCCTCCTAGCTTTCGTGGTTCTCCGGGTAGCAACTTCCCTCGCTAAAAATCCACGAGGCTGCGCGTAGTACCCAGGTGGACGGGGAGGCTGGAATCTAAATTTTCGGTGTCACGCGAAAATCTGTAGGGTCCCAAACTTGTCCCAAACTCCGAGTTCCAAACCTGAAATTTCCCTGGCCTGTTTAAGTTCTAGGAAATTCTAGAAACGGCCATTTTCACGCCTGGGCCGCGAATTCACAGCCGTTAAATTTCGTTTCGAGATTCGTCCATTTCTCTTTGTTCTGTTGTGCGTTCTTGTTGCGCATAGTATTGAGTGCGGTAAAACACTTTTCGTTGTTGGTATTGAGTGCGGTAAAACTGCGCGCGCATCTGTGTTTGTCTGTCCCATCGCATGTCCCCTGTCAAAAGTGACTGCTTTTCGCACTGCTCGCAGTGGTCGGAAGTTCGGCTCGGCCGGTGGGGCAATCAGTTTCTCTGCGATTCGTTCATTCGTTTCGACGGTGGGCCAGTACTGGCGCATGCGCTTGCTATCGACAGCCTTGCCAACGTGCGGTTGCTTTTGGCATTTTCGACTTCCCAGTGTGCCCTTCTTTCGAAGTTGGCTTTGACTCAGAAACGGGACCAGCCTGAAGTGACTTGTTTGTCAGTTCCCAGTTCTGGGGGTTACTGCTTTCGGTTCTGGGCTAGCGCCAGTTTGCTCTTTGAGACATGCACTGCTCGTTCTGTCGTTGGCGAATTTAAGCGATCGGTGCAGTTGTCACGATTCGCCGGCTCGCTGAGTTTGCCAGTATGAA